AAAAAAGGTTGAGAAGTTAGAGGGTTGATATGTTGTGGGGTTGTTAACCAGTGTCATAAAACAACATGTGTACTACTGTTTCATGAGAAACTATTTGTTCTGTAAGCCTTTACCTGAAGTACAATAAAAAATAAAATAAAATATAGATATGCTTATCATTCAGAATTTTTCACTATGAAAGACAATTTTATTTATTATGTAGACTATTAGAGAATGAGAGCCCTGGTGGCACAGTGGTTAAGAGCTATGGCTGCTAACAAAAGGGTCGGCAGTTCGAATCTACCAGCTGCTCCTTGGAAACTTTGTGGGGCAGTTCTACTCTGTCCTGTAGGATCGCTGTGAGTCAGAATTGACTCAGCGGCAACAGGTTTGGTTTTTTGGGGTATTATAGAATAAGAAAAGGGAACATGTGACTATCCTGCTATCATCTCAGACTTTGCATATACAGAAGCAAACTTTCTTCTTTCTGCTTCTTCAACATTAACGTTCACTCACAAATAATTATTTTTAATGGCTTCATTATGAGAGTTCATTGGAAGTTATATAAAGTTTTTACTGAATAGAGGTGATTCTACATGATGGCTTGGTTCAGTATTTCACCATGGGTTATAAAGTGTGATCCCTCTATGTCAGGCTCTTAGAGGAATAAATTCCTGTCCTCAAGAACCTGGAGAGTTAGCCAAAAATAAAAACGTATAATGCAATGTGGAAAATGCTATGACAGTGATGTGCACAGAATCGTATGGTGGGAAAAGAAAAAAAATGTATCAGGTGAGGTGGAGTTGAGCAAAAGAAAACTTCCTTAAGATGATATGCATTTATCTTGAAGATCAAATAGAATTTATCCAGGCCAAGAAGTTGAAGAAAAGGCACTTTGGCTGGAGGCAGGAGTGCAGCCTGATGGAAAGTTGCAGATGCAGATGTGTAATGGTTAATCACACGAGTTCTAGAGCCAGCCATCTCACTTCAGATATCACCATTGCTCACTGTGTAACCTTGTGCAAGTTACTTTACTTCTCATCAGCAAAATGGGTGTTATAGTAGTTCCTACTTCATTGGTGTGTTTAACTCAAGCTTTTAAAGCTGTTTATATAGTATATGACACGTAGAAGATGTTTTAAAAAAACTATATTAATTACAAGGGAATAAGAAACAACATAATATTTGGGAAACTGCAAGTCATTTTGTATTGCTGAAGAAAAAATGCAATAAATGACATGAAAGAAGGTGAAGGGGCTATGTACCATGTTAAAGAGCTGGAAATTGCCGGAGGAGTGGCAGTTAGATTGTGTTTTAAATATATCTCACTGGGAGCAGGATACAGGGCAGGGAAGGTGGGAGGTGGTTGGGGAATGGGGTGGGAAGAGTTGGTGAAGATTAGAGGTACAGAAACCAGGTAGAACGCCATAATAATTGTCAAGACTAAGTATTATAGGGAGTCCTTGGGTGGTGCAAACAGTTAACATGCTCGGTTGCTAACTAAAAGTTTGGAAGTTTGAGTCTATGCAGGGCCGCCATGGAAGAGAGGCCTGGCAGTCTACTTCTGAAAATCAGCCATGGAACACCCTATGGAATACAGTTCTACTCTTACGCACATGAGGTTGCCATGAGTCAGAGTCAACTCGATGGCAATTGGTTTAAATATTATATAATCCTCTTTAATAATAGCAATTGGAATAGAAAGAACATGACAGTGGAGAGAAATATTTAGAAACTAAAATTGGTAGGATTTGCCCCTAAACCAAAAGGACCAAACCAAACCAATTGCTGTCCAGTCAATGCTGACTCATGGCGACCCCATGTGCTGCAGAGTAGAACTGTGCTACACAGGGTTTTCAAGGGTGTGATCTTCTGGAAGTAGATCTACCAGGCCTCTCTTCTGAGAAGCCCCTGGGTAGGTTGGAACCTCCAACCTTTTGGTTAATAGTCCAGTGCCTAATGATTTGCACCACCCCTAACACTTAGTCAAAAGATCCTGGATGATAATGTAGGAGAGAAAGGAATAAATGCCAACTTGAAGATTCCTGATTTGGCAGACTGGGAAGATAGCAAAGGCATAAGAAAGAGCGGGAGAGAAAAAGAATACAAGAGTAAACAGAGGTTTGAAAGAGAAAATGATGAGTGCAGATTTTAGACATGTTGAATTTAAGATGCTTCGAGAACATTTATCTGGAGATGAGAGATTTTTAGAGTGGAGTTCTAGTTTCAAGAAACAAATTTGGGTTTCAGTAAAAAAAAAATACGATCAAGAATCTGGAAGAGTTCCGAGGAATAGTTTGTGTTACATGGGGTAGGTGAAGAGGGTCTAATGAAATAAATTGGTAATAAATAGTAAGGGATTATAATTTAACATGGTTTCAGATTTGATGAAAGGTGTGAATAAAGGAGCTTCAGGAGAGAGCAACAATCTAATTGTGCTTGAACAGAAATTATTTCTGTGTTTTATACATACTACTATGTCGGAATTGACTCAACAGCAATGGGTTTGTTTGTTTTTTTTTTTTGGTTTGCTATGTGAAAAATATGTCGATAGAGCATGTTTTTATAAGTGACCTAAGCATGTCATTTTGCAGGTAGATGACATAAATGTTTTCTATTAAATAAAAACATTTACTTTAATCTGGAGTAACAAAATTAAAGAATGAATTAATCTGAAATCTAATTTTATTTTGATCTTTAAAAATAATTTTTCTCCCCTTATTTTAAGTGATATTTAACTGCAGTTATGAAAAGTTTAAAAAGTGTAATGCTTAATGCAAATTTTTTGTTTTAATTGTATTCTGAATCAGCATGGGCATTAATCATGACAATGACCACCCATCATGTGCTGATGGTCTTCATATCATGTCTGGTGAATGGATTAAAGGACAAAATCTTGGTGACGTTTCATGGTCCCGGTGTAGCAAGGAAGATTTGGAAAGATTTCTCAGGTACTTGAGGTCACTTATTATTGTTGCATTGTGAATGTTTTTGGTGTACCTGCTTCCTCTACTGACCAGGAAAGGCAGTGTGGCAGATTGGGAAGGGCACAAGGAATGGAAAGGAATCAAAGCACTTGGTTTCCAATCTTGGCTCTTCTATTGAATCATGATGTGGATTAGGACACACTTTTTAACTCATCTACTTCTTAGTTACCACATTTTCCAAATAAAAAGATGAAACAGAATGAGTTGTGAGGTTGAAAAACTACTATAATGATAAAAAAAAAAAAAATCTATCACTGTATTTAATTGCCTCTCAGTTGTCTCCCAATGGAAAATATTCTTATCACTCATCATAGAACACATCTGTTATCACAAGGAAGCTCTTTAGCAAAATCTCCATATTTCCCTGTGATACTTCTAAACTGTTGATCTTTTTTCATTAATAAATAGTTTTCACTGTTATAATAGTCCCGCATTCTCTTCTTAACGCCTTCAATACTGGTAACACCTAGCTTCTGCCTAATTGGAGAAAGAAGCAAAAAATATTATTGTTGTAATTTTCATTTTGAAGGACTTGTTCTTTAGTATTCATCTGGTAGTAATAACCAAAGCTGAAACAGTAGATGATATGCAAAGGAATTAGCGAGAGAGAGATGCTTAAGGTATCTGGAAGTTTAATTAAATAAGAATATATAAACACCTCACTAGCTAAATTCACTACACAAATAAACTTTGTTCATTTTTTTTTGTACCATTTAAATTGGCAAGCAGATTTTTCCTGTAAGATGGAGAAAAAAAATCTACTTAAATATGATGTTTAATATATTATAATTCCATTGTAAAATGTGTGCAGTATATTCTGAGCGTGTTCTTTGTCATGGCAGTCTAGGAAACACTCAGAGCGTTTAACATTTTGAACACACCACCTTGCTGTGTCAGTAGCCCTTCAGTGGGTCTAAATGAGTTCCTAAGGAACATGTGTGATGTTATATGACTGTTTTCACATGAGTCTGAACTGTGTTCAAATTGAATGTCACTTCACAAATGGAAGTTGTATTACAAACCAGTGTCAAGTACAAAAAAATCCTTACTGTTAATACCCGAGGATGCTTTCCATACATTCTTTAAATCCTTGAGTATAGCATTTTATTACCTTCACACATTACTGTTGGGCAAATTACTCTCTTCTGAGCTTCCTCATCTAAGACATTCATAAGATAATATTCACCTCACAATTTTATGTAGCTAACTTAATCAGTATGAAAGGCCTTTGTAAACTGAAAAGTTTCGTTAACTTGAACATTATTATTATTTGTGATTATTTGTAAATAATTATAAATAAATGATTCTCATCTATGGAATAATTTCTACAAGCATTCAATAGAACAGCTTACAAATAAGAGTAAGACCATATTTTTAGTATTATAAAAATGTTTCCTGTTGATATACTAACTAGTAATAATAACTTTATATTAAATTCAAAATTTTACACCTATCTGCATATTGCCAGGTCAAAGGCCAGTAACTGCTTGCTACAGACAAATCCCCAGAGTGTCAATTCTGTGATGGTCCCCTCCAAGTTGCCAGGGATGACATACACTGCTGATGAGCAATGTCAGATTCTCTTTGGGCCATTGGCTTCCTTTTGTCAAGAGATGCAGGTAAGAGTCATATCCAGGTAGGGTTTTGTTTTTTTTTTTTTATTTTAAGTGTATGTTCACATTCATTGTTTAGAAGTATAGATTGAAAGAGGGGAAGATGATCTCATTTTAGAGTTTGTGGATCAAAGGCATCCCACCCGATCCCAGAAAGAAAGATTTTTTCTTTAAGCAAAGTTTCCTGCATTTTTTCCCCTTACATGTTGGAAATAATAGATATAAGATGTGAGCATTTAATCAAAGTCAGTAAGAAATGACCCAGTGATTTCTGTTTAGAAACTGGTGCTAATGTCAGGGAAGTATTTGTATTATGCCAGTCAATCCTAAAAATAAAACTTAAAAATATGTTTTAAAGAAAAGAAAATTAGAGAGTACATCATCTAAATAGCTGCACTAGAGGAAAAAGGTAAAAGTATGATGGTAAACTAAGCAGCGTCTTTATATCAGCATTCATAGAGTTGGTAATTACTTGGAGATGCCAGTTGTTCCAGGTCTAGAAAATATAAAGGATGGAGTAAATTGGACTTCTCATTTGATGTTATGATTTTACCTCTATTTACCCTTCTCTCTCTTTTTTCTTTTCTCCTCCTGCTGCCCATCCACTACCTGCCCATTTCCATCTCCCTACTTCTTCCCAACATACGCATACTTTTCTTTTTCAGGAATAAAGGGAAAGTTATGCTTAGAATAAACTGGTTGTGTATTCCTGAAACGTAGCTGTATTTCACCCTAACTAAGTTTCTGTGATTGTCTTGACAGGAGTTTGGCTATTGAGCACAACGCTATTTTTGACAATGGCAACACAGATAAAATCTGTTATATAGAAAAGAACATACAACATTGCAACACATTTCATGCTTTCTCTGCTTTATAGTTCTTATCAAAACAGTTATTCACATGCTTGTTTATTACTTGGTTATTAGCCATCTCCTGCACTAGTATGTAATCTCCATGAGGACAGAGAGCATTTTTTCCAGCATCTAGCCCAGTGATAGGTAAATAGTAGGCACTCACTGAATATTTGACTTCTGATTAAAGTGAGTGAATATATGAATGAACTAGAGTTGCAAAAACTATGAGATGTGAAATAATTTATAGTTTGTAATACTTATTTGGCAAAGTGGAATTCAAAAGGAAATTGTGTGGGTATGTGATCATGATCTGATTCCTAAGTGCACACCTGTGGCATAGCCACAGACCCTGAGAACCCAGCATCATGTGTGATAATGATGACAGTAGTCAGTCTGGACCCTGTGTAATCTGCCCCTGATAGTCTTCTCATGTCATCTACTAATCTTCTCATTTACTCTCCATTCTGGGCCTTTAGACAACCAAAATATGGGTTACAATCATCTTTCTTGGTCTATGGTAAAATGAATGTTACAAGATGCACATGGTTGGATTTGAGGGCAAATACTTCTATGTGCTAAAACTAATGTTGCTTTAGATATTATTTCCATTGCTTTGGAAAACATAGCAGGCTATTTGTGGTTACTGTGATAGTATTGCCTGGGAGATAGTTACAGTACATATGGTATAGCAAATTGATAGGGCCGATAAACGGTCACTTTTTTCAGGCTTTATAAAGTACCCCAAGTGTTAGAAAAATCAGCAAATGATTAGCCACAAATATGATTTTGGTAAATTTTAGGTTCTTTTCCATAAATATTGTTTTGAAAAGCTTTTAAAACTGTCCTATTGCAGTTAGTTAAATGTTACTGTTACTATTCTATAATTTTGAACTCTAAATTTATGTTACATAGTATGTTAAATTATTTGTTTATAATTTAATTTTACAGTAATATGTATCATAGTTATCATTCATCCTATTTTACAGATCAACAAATTGAGGCCTAGAGAAGTTAATTAGCACATTCAAGTTCATATACCTGTTAAGAGGGAGTGTCAGACACCAACACAGATGTCTCTAAATCTAAGGAAGAGCACATTGTAACCCTATGCTTTACTGCCTTCTATGGAACCCAGTCTTCTTTATATATTGTCTTCTGTATGGCGAAAATCTTAGGTCAGGCCCTGAATTTAAACTGAATTCATTTTATTTGCTATAGTACCTCAACCATAAGGGTTTTAAAAAATCTTAATTGATTTCTTTTATTATTCTAGGCTAACTTGCTTTATTTACATTGTTATTTCTCACTAACCTACATGCACTGGTTTTTTGTTTTTTTTCTTTTTCCTTATCTCTGAAAATATAACCGTTTATTTTGGGATATTTAAATCTATATTTCTCTGTATCCTAGGATATTGCCTTGTTTTCAGCTTTGCAAATAAAGTTGTTTTAGGTTTTAGACATCTAGAAATTTTCTCCTTTTTTTCTCTAAAATTTCATACATGAGTGGCATTTTATTTATATCAGTATCAAGTTTTTTTCTTCAGTTCTATTTATAAGAAACTGTGTAACCTTTATCCAGGTCAATTTAAAAAATAATGCCAGAAAGTGCAGGATTGGGCAGCTGCAGGAAAACAGTGCCTCTGGGTTGAGCTTAATTTGATAGTGCTGACGTGAGAAGTGGGAAGCCTGAGCTCTAACAGTGGTTCTGCCTCTCGTTAGCTGCGTAAACTTAGTCAGTACCCTTTTTCTTTCTCAGCCACACTTCTGTTGAATAAGAAGTGGGACTAAATTATCATTCAAAGCCTTTCTTGGAGAAAAAAGGCTAGACTTCTGTGCTTCCAAAACAGTACTCTAACACTACCCTTGAAAATCATCATTCCAGTCCCAAATCAGTATAGTATGCTTAGTATAGGAACCAGATAGATAGACAGACAGACAGATAGAGAGATAGATAGATAGCAGATAAGTGGGTAGATAGATATAGCCATAAAAGAGATTGTTTACAGATTCGATGATTGATTTGACAAATATTTATTGAGTTCCAGTTATTTTCCATGGACTGAGACCTAGGTGACTACAATATGTAGAGGTTAAGAAGATGAGGAGAAAGCAACAAATAAACTCTGAAGTCTGGTGAGGTAGGAATGTTGTTGTTGTTAGGTGCCATCCAGTTGATTCCAACTCATAGCAACCCTATGCACAACAGAATGAAACACTGCCTGGTCCTACGCCAGCCTCACCGTCGTTGCTGTGTTTGAACCTATTGTTTCAGTCACTGTGTCAATCCATCTTGTTGAGGGTCTTCCTCTTTTTCACTGACTCTATAGTTTACCAAGCATGATGTCCTTCTCCAGGGACTGCTCCCTCCTGATAACATGTCCAAAGCACGTGAGATGAAGTCTCGCCATCCTCTCTTCTAAGGAACATTCTGGCTGTACTCCTTCCAAGACAGATTTGTTTGTTCTTCTGGCAGTCCGTGGTATAGTCAATATTCTTTGCCATCACAATTCAAAGGCATCAATTCTTCTTCAGTTTTCCTTATTCATTGTCCAGCTTTCACATGCATCTGAGGCAACTGTAAACACCATGGCTTGAGTCAGGTGCACTTTTGGTCCTCAGAGTGACATCTTTCTTTTTAATACTTGAAAGAGGTCTTTAGCAGCAGATTTGCCCAATGCAATATGTAGTTTGATTTGTTGAGCACTGCTTCCATGGGTGTTAATTGTAGATCCAAGTAATAGAACCAAGAAAAAATAAGATCTTGGAGGTTAAGCAAAGGTATGTCAAAGAGGAAGTCATCTTCTGTGCCAAAAGCCAAAGTGGAATAAAATTATTTCAAAAGGTTTGGCACACTATTACTTGAAACTATCTTGAAATTCCTGGAAACATAACTAGTGTCAGAAGGTCTAACTTAAAAATCTAAGATCAAGTAGTTATGAATGTAGAAGATTGAATAGTTCTGTTTGTTAAGCCACACTTACATACCTTCAACTTGATCCATGTGGAGTCACCATACCTGCCAATCTTCCATCTAGGTTTTATAGAAGATAAATCTTCCAGAAGATAGACTCCATGACATCGGAGATATGGTCGGTCCTTTTTTCACTGCATTTCTAGCACCTAAAAGAGTGCTCAATAAATATTTGTTAATAAATGGATCGATTGAATGATAGTGATGATTCTAAGCTTTCACACATGGAAGTATTTGATTCCCAGACATATAATATGTCTAGATAATATGATGATAACATAGAGTAATAATGCAATGACTATACAGAAGCAAACCAATAAGGGCAGATAGCTTATGTTTTGCAGCTTATAAATGACTTAGACATCTTTATGCTAACCAAAAGGTTCGCAGTTTGAACTGACCAGCCTCTCCTTGGAAACCCTATGGGGCCATTCTTCTCTGCCCTGTGGGGTCTCTATGAGTCAGAAGCCACTCGATGGCACCTAACAACAACAACAAATGATCATCTCATTTCTGATCAGTTATAAATAAATATCAAGTTCCATGGAGTGAGGGTTCACAATGATTTTTCAGCATGTATATTTCTGATAGAATCTTAGAAACAATATAAATTTTGAATCTGAAAATGGCAGGGGATCCATAGCATCTGAATTGGATATTGTCCTTCCAGACTTGTAAATAGGTATTAACACATAAATACTAAGTACTGGATGGCAACTAACAACAACAACTAAGGACTCTAACATTGTATGCATGTTATCTAATTAATGCTATAAATTTACCTTTAGAATAAACAGCTTACATCTGCACAACTTTTAAAGGCACCGCTGTGCAGATGCTTGTGAAACATCTTTACCCAGCAATAACAGCTGACTCTTCTGCATTAATTTGCATATGGTTAACTTCTTGGATGGCATTGTTCCTAAGCCCTAAGCAATTGGTGCCTTAGCACGATCTGACGTCTTGTGGCTGAACCAGCTTCAATCATATCAAGTCATTGTGATAGGTACCTGAAATTACATACCTGGCTTAGAATACAGGTATGTGTAAGATGTTTCCTTAGAAACAGTAGAAAATGATCCCACAAGAGTTACTCCTTTTGTGTTGGAAGGATGTGCGATAAAAATTGAAGGGCTCCAGGAAACGTAAGGTTCTGCCTTTGTTTTTGGATTAGGCATA